CCCGTCTCCTCGGTCATCGGGACGACACGAAGTCCATCCACCGCGAGGTCCTTGTCGGCGGAAGAATCGCTGGTGGTTTGGCCAACGCTGAACATGTCACGAAACAAGGGCGAAGCGATGGTAAGGATGCTCTTGCGAGCGCGGAAGTCGCGTCCATCTTTAGAACGCAAGATGACGTCGGCGGACGTGTCCTCTTGGAAGAGCGGTTCTGTGGAACACACATCGATTGTCAGATGGCTAATACACTTCTTGTGTAAAAGGTTGCGTACAAGTCGGATTCCAGGCACCCCCTGCAGGCTCTTGGGTTGGATCTCTGTTGTCGGACATCTCTTATGGTGAGAGGGTCTTTGGGCTCGTCGTGGAGCGAGGAAAGCAGTGATTCATTACGAGGTCAAGTAGGTTTGATGCACAAAGGCAATGCGTACAACACGTGTAGAAGACATTATATTAGTATAGCTGAGCAAACTCCTTTTATACACATGGACCCACAATGCAGATTCTAAAAATACCTGATGTAATTGCACACCGGATTTTCTGATGCAAATAATCCTGTGCAAGATCCGTATAATGCACGTACTGTCGGGCGCGATTCTAGTCCCATGTACCGTTCGTCCTAAACTTCAGCACACAAGGCAGCATATGGATAATTGCCTATCTCTTTCGTAGTGGCGAACCCTTCGAACAGCTTGTTCGGATCCTCATAGCAGCATGTGCTGATTTATACGAGAAGTATTCTGCGGACCAGAGTATATATGTATCAGCTGGACAAAGGACATGGAGCGTTCGAGTGAAGGACCTCATCCCTCCCAACGCATATCTCCTGCCGACGACCGCCACAATGCCGTCGAACACCTCCAAGCCTCTGATCCCCGCCGAGGTCCTGAGAAAGCTCAGGACGGATCCGCTGCTCGACGTTGACAACACCGTCATCACCAGTGCAGAATGGCACGCTGTCCGCCTCGCGCTCGTCGCGAACAAGCCTGGCGACATGTCCACCGAGACGATCGTTGTACTCCAAGGGACTTCGCCGTTTCAGACGCCATTCAGAGCGGAGGACGGCAAGAAGTGGCTGCACTACGCGGCTGAGAGGGGAGACCCGTGCTGCGCGCTCGAGTTTATCCACCTGGGCGCGACCATCGATGCAAAGGACAGTCGCGGGTACACGCCGCTTCGGCTGGGGATGAACATCATGCTGGCAGGCTCGGAGGTCCTCGAAGGGAGGCGCTGCGGAGTGCAGTGGCTCGCCCCGACCCCGGACGAGGACCCGCGGTACGCAGAAACAATGGTGCACAGAGTGAAATGGGTCTGCCGGCTGCTGATCGAGCAGCATGCGGATGTCAATCATACCCTCGCGTCCGACACTCGTAGTATTCTCGATTGCGCATGCATTGCACGGGACTGGGAACTGATAGAGCTCTTGCTCAGGCACGGTGCCGAGCCGTGGAAACAGACCGCAGACGGTCGGAGGATCGGCCGACTGGGAGGTGACAGAGAGGAGGAAGAGCGATTCTTGAGGCTGGTGGAGGATATAGGAACTCAGAGCACCTGACCACCCAGGGTGTGTCCCTGCTGGTCAGGCAAAACCCTCGTCGAATGTCATGCAGCGGGATCGAAGCCGTATCCGCCCGAGTACCTCTGTCGTTGCGGCACAGGCAAGACGTACGGCAAGTGCTGCTCCAAGCGCGGAGTGGTTTTCGACGAATACTGGGACGAGAAGAGCCAGTGGATCGGCGGCTCGGAGACGAGAAAGATATTCTTGCACACAGACGGCTCCATGGACTTAGACGACATCGCACTACTGCAAGAGAACTTGCGGCTCATATCCACCAGAGAGAATTCCGTGGACCTTGGGATAGTAAACGCGCAGGACACAAGATGTGTGATCCGAAGGTATCTAGAGATAATGAGAAAACATCTCAGGGAGATAGAGGCAGTAGTTGACCCCACGTTCTATTATGCCATGACCAACACGGACTTTATCCCCATGTGAGTATCAGTACTCACCTGTTCGTCTGAGCACTAACGCCTCTCTCTGGTAGCCCCCAGGGACGGAGCGCCTCCAACACCCAGCAAGCGACAGAGAAAGCCAAAGATTGGAACGGTCTCATCGATCGATACATAGAGCTGGGGACCGACCCGCGGCCCAGCCTTGAGATCGAGCAAGCCGCGAAAATCAACAACTATTGCGGGGCCCTCCATCGCAAGTGCGAGGGCGTCGCCTGCGGCAAACTCGAACGACGCGACCTGGAGAAGCTCAACCTATGTTCCAAGTGCAAGACGGTGCGTAACAGACAGGTTGGACCGATTGTTGTCATGGATCTGACCCATTCCGTGGAATAGGCTGTGTACTGCGGCCGGGAGTGTCAGGCCAGTGCGTGGAAGAGACACAAATATGCGTGCCAGGCTGGGGCTTCCGTGCAGCAGATGCTGGCGTCGCAGGTGGCGGTACAGAAGTACATGATCCCGGCTATGCAGCAGGCGGCGCAGGAGCATGTGTACGGAGAAACGACTTCCACGTAGGCCGGAAGAATATGATTTCTTGACAGCAACCAATAGGTGCCACTGAATGCGGCGTATGGGAGCGATCCAGTGCGCTCACTCTATTACTCGCTAGAGGTATGGCGTACGTACCATTAGTTACTTTTCACGGTCAAAACGGAGCTCGTAGATGAGTCTTCACGCCGCCCTAGGCAAACCACTAAGCCGGTCAGAGACATCGATGCCCTACACCATCTCTTCGCGTTCGGTTTTACCTGAACCTCGACGACGCTGCCAACAGAACCATGATCCAAGAATGCAGTAATACACCTTGTAGCTTGAAGCCAAAGTACAGTGAGCCGTGGCCGTCTACGCTCCAATGACCGCTCATCGGGGCAAATTGTGAGTCGACTACCGGCGTATTGAGAAGGACACGTAGAACCTAATCGATAATCACCGGCGTCTATCACAGCACAGGTCGAGTGGACTGGACAGCACGCACCGCCTTCATCAGACATGAAGAGAAAACGACACCACTGTTCGACATTCGCGGTCTGCACCTGGTCCCCTTGTCCCAAAACTAGTTCAGGATTACATCTGCAGCGACGTCCTTGATGGGAAAGGTCTCCGGGGATCCGGGTTCCCTACATGATTGCAGTATTTAGGAACTTACCCTGATTATGTTTGCAGTACTTCTGTGGGTCCACGTCACAGAACATGCTTTCCCTGGATGATTGCATAGCATCCAAGTATGGTAAGTGAGCCTTCCCTGGTGTCATAGATATCGATACTGCGAAGAGTTGTCCAGTGTTGCTGTGTCTGGTTTTTCCACGCACAGATAACGGCGTGCATAGTACCATTGGCCGGGCACTATTAAGACATGAGGAGCACACGCCGCAAGATATAGTCCCCGAGCCAGTGCAATATGAAACCTTCGGAAAGCCAGCAGTTGGGTACTCGGCCTTCAGCAAGGCATACTCGTGTAGTATGCTGTGCAAGATAACGGCGAAGAGCAAGGAGCTTCGTTGAATTAAGGAAAAGGCGCAGACTTGCCAGAACACTCTAAAAGGCGTAGAGCTCCTGGGACCTTGACACCCAGGTCACCAATTCTCCTGTGACGTTCCGCTTCAGCGCTCAATTCTAAACAGCGCCTATGTCTGAGCTGCTTCCGCTGACGAGCCCCACGTCGCCACTTGGCATAGGCAATGGACATTGGGTCGTTGCCCCATCTGCGGCCAAGCAGGCTTGGCAACGTCAGAAGGAGCTGTACGGTGACTCGAACCCAACAATTGACGCCATAATGGAGATGACGGGGCTTGAGGATGTCAAAAGCCAGGTCCTCAAGATAAAGGACACCCGAGTGACACCAAAAGCGAGAGCCCTTAGACTTGGGACTACGCCCTAAGACGCGAGACCAAGGGGTCTCGAAAACCTTATTTTGCCACCCCACCTGAACGCCCCCCCTGCGTACCCCACATCGCCCCCTCTGACTTCAACGCTCGAGCACCGGTCCAGTACGTGTCACCGCCTACACTAGTATAATAAGACCCGCCCCCTCT